AGTTCCTGGTTTTCCATGCCTTATATACCTTTCTGCTTTCTGCCCTCACTTTCTGGGATTAAAGGCATGTGTCACCATGCCTGGCTGTTTCCAATGTGGCTTTGAACTCACAGAGATCCAGATGGATTTCTGCCTCTGGAATGCTAGGATTAAAGGCATGAGTGCCACCATTTTCTAGCCTCTGTATCTAGTGGCTGTTCTGTTCTCTGACCCCAGATAAGTTTATTAGGGTGCACAATATTTTGGGGAACACAATACCACCACAACTTACATATCATGCTAGTCCAGACTTTTATACTATGGTTTGAGTAAAAATGCTAATCTAGAAAACTTGGGTCTGACACGTTTTAATATAACTGACTTATAAAGCTGAAATTGGGCTTTATCACATAAGCCATCTGTTTTTCTCAAAAGGGGGAAGGGAAAATTGTACTAGCTGTTGGATTTACCTTTGACTTGCTTAAGAAAAGTGAGTATAGGTTGGTTGGTTAGTCTGCAATTTGAGCTTCCCCAGACTTCACAGAGTACCTGATCCCTGGAGGTTCAGTATTTCTGGAACCATGGACAAGGACCAGATGTCCTTAGTCTCTGCTCTCCCTGTCTGTACTCTTTTTTAAGTTACTCTTCTGTTTGATAAATATATGTATTAGCTTCCTAGGCCTTGGTTAATAAATTACCCCAAAGTAGGTGACTTTTAAAATAATAGAGGTTTATTCTCTGTTCTGGAGTCTAGAAGTCCAAAATCAGCCAGTCTGAACTCTAGGAGTTTTAGGGGAGATTCCATTCTTCTTTCAGTTTCTGGTGGCATTTATTGATTTAGTTTGTTGATTTTTTTCATCAATGCATCACCCAATCACTGCCTCCCACTCCTTTTTCTCAAAGATCTCCCTCTGCCTTTATCAAGTAAGGGCATTTACTGCCAGATTTACAGTCCATGCCGACATTCCATAATTATCTCTTTGCCAGATCTTTAACTTAGTAAAGCTGCAAAATCTCTTTCTCTAAACATTTAAACATCTATAAATTCTGGAAATTAGGATGTGGTCATTCAACCTACTAACATGTTTCCAGGCTACCTAAGAAACCATATAGTAGAGATTTTCATAAGCAGAGTTATAAAGTATGAACACATTGCTTATACTGTGTCATTTGATGGTATGGCCTTTTAAAGTTCATACTGTAATTTTATTTTAAAGTCCATAGTGTGGTTTTATAATCAGTTGATGTATTTTATAAGCAGGTCTGGAAAGGTGACTTAGCAGTTAAGAGTACTTACTACTCTTGTAGAAGAACTGAATTCAGTTCCCAGCATCCTCATAGCAGCTCACAACCACCTGTAACTCAGGGTTTCAAGGGATCTGATGCCCTTTTCTCCTCTGTGGGCACCAGGTATGTGGTGTATATAGATATATGCAGGCAAAGCATGTACATAAAAGTAAATAAATCTTTTTTTAAGGAACATCACTTGGAAAATAATGACATATTTGGGGCTGTTGTCAAATATTTAGCTCTAGTTGTCTTTTCCAGATTTAAGATAGGATTACCACAATACTACCTTTTCTCAAAGACATTAGTTATTATGTCTACTGCTACTTAGCCACTGGCTCATTAAAGGCGCTCTAGTAATTTATGAAAATGGGTTATATTGTTCAGCAAAATGATTTATTGTCTCCTCCTAATCACTCAGAAGAACACTGAGCTCTGTGTAAAACATGGTAAACGGTTATGTCTATGATCTCTTATCTACTTATATGAGACATTATGTAAGAAACCACCAGTTTTTGCTTCTTGTAGCCTTAGCTTAGCCAGGATTCTTTGTAAAATCGTTTTGTTGCCACCTGACCACCTTTGTGTTTAATATAGACGACTTCTATGCTGTGCCCTAAAAATCTTCCCTAAGTGAAACCAACAAACCTTTCAATTGTCCCTACAAAGTAGGAAATGAGGTGAGCTCTTCCTCATTTAAATGGCACCATTTGATTATGTAACAGTTTGGCCTTATACTTTGTAAAAATGATCTCAGTTTAAACATGACTGCAGCTCCTGAGAATTCATTGTTTTATAATATGTACTTCTACTTTCAGCTTATACAGAATTTGGACATTCTCCTTTGAGAGACTTGATAAGCATATTAAAGACCAAAATTTGCTTGATAGCATCTCTTCCCTTGATCTTCTAGAAATGTAGGCACATTTATCTTAGTCCTGTAAACGGTATGATATTTTATAGTAGACATTGTGTATGTATGTATAGACTAGTGTATGTATGCTTTCATGTAAAAGTGTGATTATTTATTAGTTAGATGTTAATTTGACATTCTTTACCAAAATTATTGCCATGTTAGCTTAAGAATTTGCGTTATACCTTTTTTATTCTTTTGATGGCAAGGCAGAATTTTAAGCTGGCTACCATAAACATTTGAATCATGTTTCCTGGCTAATTTACATGAGTTCAAACTGTAACTATGTACATTAATCATTGCCCTACCTCTGACATTTGAACTTCCTATACACCTAGGTCTCTCTGCAAGAGATGGAGTTTAAGCCTTCATTAAGAGTCTCTTGCCTGCCATAGTATATTTATCATTCATATCTTCTCACTCATGAGTAATTCACTGATAATGAAAAACATTGATAAGCTGGCTAAGATAAAGTTCTAAATATAAAGATAACTTAGAATAAAGCTATCTATGTTCCAAAGTGTAATGTATCTCTAGGTGTACACACATACACTTGTGTGTACATGTGAGTAAAAAATGTACATCTGGTAAAGAAAGAAACAGAAAATATAGCATAATGCATGTAATTTTAAAGTATGACATAGTTGAAGGATTATGCACAGTGGTTTTTGTCTATAATACTAGCATGTAGGAGGCTGCGGCAGGAGGATTACAAGTTTGAGACCAGCCTGGGCTACAGTCTTAAACCCTGCTTTATAAAAAAAAATGGGAACATAGATAATATAGCTCAGTGGTAGAGCACTCACCTGGCAGATATGAAGCCCAAGGCTGAAGCTCCAGCACCACGGGGGGGGGGGGGGGGGGGAGGAGGGGGATTAAACAGAATACATCTTAAAGTATCACACAGATTAAGTAAATAAGAACAAATTAGGAAATAGAAGTTCTAAAGAACATACATAGTAAGGTAGATCTAACTAATAGCTATCAAACTGTGTATTTTGCTACTAGAGACAATAAAGAATATACTTTCTCAAGTGCCTTAAAAATGCATATCCAGAATAAGATAAAATATTTTCACAAAACATCAGTAATTTCCATTAAATAGGAAACAAGCAACTGTGACAATTTGAGAAGCAAGATGTTTTTATAGTCTTCTAAGTGTCTACTCCAAGATATTTACACTACAAAAGGAAAATATACTAACCTAACAGCAATGAAAACTAGTGAGATAGCATTTGAAGAAATTTAACACGATACTGTCTGAACTGAGTAGTCAAATTTCAGTAAACAAGACATTTAACATATATCCTTGATAGAATAAGAACACAGCAATTTTTCTGTGATATTCTTACCAAAAGAACCCTAAAACCCAAATATGTATATTCTCAAACCAGTAAGAACACACCAGACAATTCTCAATTGACAGGACACACTCCAAAATATTTTACAAATATTCTTCAAGTGTCAATCATGAAAGACAGGGAAAAATTGAAAAGTTCTCACAGATTAGAAGATACCAAGGAGCCAGGCAGTGGTGGTGCACTCCTTTAATCCCAGCACTCTGGAGCAGAGGCAGTCAGATCTCTGAGTTCAAGGCCAGCCTGGTATACAGAGCAAGTTCCAGGATAGGTTCCAAAGCTTACACAGAGAAACACTCTCAAAAAAAAGAAGATACTAAGGAGGTATAACTATGTTTGTAATACAAGATCCTTGGTTGAACTCCAGAACAGAAAGATACTAAGGAAAATGGGTGAAAATTGAATAAAGTCTATAGATTAGGTGATGGTATATCGTAATGTTAGTTTCTTAGTTTAGGAGCCAGTATAGCAACTCAGGACTGTAATCCCAGCAATTATAAGGCTGAGGCAGCAAGATTCCTGCAAGTTCTAGATCAACATTAGCTAGAGTGTGATCTTTCTTCAAAACTAAATCAAAATATTTCTGGTTTAGATAAATTTATTCTGAGGCCAGGTATGGTGGCACATGCCTTTACTCCCAACACTAAGATTCAGAAGCAGGAGAATCTCTTAGTTTGAGGCCAACCTGGTCTCTACCTAGCAAGTTCCAGGTGAGCCAGGGATATGCAATAAGACCCTGTCTCAAAGCAAAATAATTTGAACAATTTACTCTGATCATTTAAGATGTTAATAGTATGTGAAACTATCTGAACGATATATAAGAATGCTGTACCATTTGTATAATTTTTTTAAAGATTTATTTATTATGTATGCAGTGTTTTGCCTGCATGCCAGAAGAGGGCGCCAGATCTCATTACAGATGGTTGTGAGCCACCATGTGGTTGTTGGGAATTGAACTCAGGACCTCTGGAAGAACAGCCAGGGCTCTTAACCACTGAGCCATTTCTCCAGCCCGCATTTCTATAACTTTTTGTACAGGATTTAAAATTGTAGGCCAGACTGGTCTCAAAGTAAAGTATAATTATTTCTAGGTAAAGTTTTAAATGAGGCAATGCCTAAATAATTAGAAGTTATTAGCAGATATTTATTACTTTAAGAGAGTTAAGGATTGTTTCTTTTATTAAAATAAATCCTTTGGAATAACCTATATTGTTTATTTAAATTCAAAGAGCCAAAAAAAAATGCTAGAAGGACTCCTTTTACCCTTTATTAAATCCAGAACAGCTGGTTTCCCTGTCAGTATGTCAAATCTTCCCAAACAGAAATTGTCATGCCCATTTAGGAATCAGGAGATGTTTCTCTTATTGGAAATAAATGTTGAGCAGGGATAATCTTTTTTAAAAGAACATTAAACAGTATCAGTTTCATAGTGATTTTAAAGTATGTACAATGTATCTTTCCAGGTATTCCGAAAGGACCTCATCAGTGCCATGAAAATTCCTGACTCTCACCATGTTAATCCTGACAGCTATTACCTCTTTACTGACACATGGAAAGAAGAATGGGAAAAGGGAGTGCAAGTACCAGCCAATCCAGACTCTGTTCCAACACCTTCTCTCAGGTATTGGCATGTTTACAACTTTGACTTAGGGAAAGAGCTCCCTTGGTTTTCTGTGTACTTCTAACATACAAAGTTAACCTAACTCACAAACCAAATCATGATTGATCAATAAATCCCAGCTCGTTTATCTAAGAAATTTATAAGATGGAATGTTTTGAAGTCCAATCTAAAATTAGGAAAAGGTTTCTCCAAGATTTCCATATCTGACTCGGCCATCAGTAGAATTTATTAGTCTTTGAAGAGATAACTTTCCCATAGGAAATTGCTTCAATATAAGTGGAGCCTCATTAGTGATGGTACTAATAAGTAGCCAAAGCATATAGTTTCTAAAACAGAAACTCAAATGAAAAGGGAGTAATAGAATAGTTAAGGCGACTGTAAGCACATGACCTTCCTTTTAAAGACATGAAAACAATTAAGGTAGAAAGACTGATTTTGTGGAAAAGAGGTTTTATTCCAGAGGACGTAGTAAGGTCTTCAAGAGTAGTAATGATTTAGAAACCATTTGATCCTACTGGTTTTGGTGTTCCCAGTGCTTTACACAAGTCTGACATGAAGTAGAATGTTCAGTATAAGTTTGAGCGAATGCAAGAATGAATAAGTAGAACACACAGCTCCAGATAAAGGGCTGGTAGAACCTTTTGGTTACTGTGAGAAAGTATGGATCTCATTGTACATTTATTTCTATTACTTAATAAAGTACCTTTTTTGAGATAGTATCTCACTGTATGGCCTAGGGAGGCCTTGAACTCACTATATAGCCCAGAATAGCTTCCTTCTGCCTCAGCCCTCTGAGTATTGGGATTACAACCATACCTAATACATGTTAGGTTCTTAAAGGGTAGAGTTAAACATCCTTAATTTCTCTACTATCACCAGGTTCATATGTCCTATTTATACTCTAGAAGTGGTTATTGAATCGCTTCTAGGAATGCAGGCCCAGGCACCCCACGCTCTGTTAAGGAAAGCTCCCAAACCCTTTCTTGTTTAACACACATTCCAAGTTTCACTTGTTTATCATTGACCGTCTCCTGCCTTCTAGAGAGAATAACATCAGGGATAAAAAAAAAAAAGAGAGAGAGAAGGTCATATTTTCATGTCTTTGCTGTTATATTTTTTATATAAATATAATGACCCTTGTGCTGCATTTTCCTTAATACTCCAAGGATTATTGAAACACCTCAATGTTTGGTCTTGATAGTAAGTCAGTATATCAAATATACTTTATTGGGGTAAGTTTAATTTTGGGGGATAAGTGGAGGATGTACTACTTTAAAAATTATATCTATCTGATAAGTAGCACAACAAACTTAGGATGGTTTAAGAAGAGTAAATTAAGAAGAGATTGAGAGCTTCCTCTCACAGAGACATATACTCCCTAATCTCCCTAATTCATATGAGCCCTCAGTGCTCTAATATTTGTTCTGAGAATGTAGGATATTTACCATTTTATATGTTGTGATTTTTACTAAATCTCCTCTATTTCTCAGAGTTCTTTGCCTATCTTATAAAGCTCTTAATTTTAATTGGCCAAGGTAAGCTACTAAATTAACTATTGATCATATTAAATTCCTTGATGAAATTCAGAACTGGTTGCTCTTGATAGGTAAATTGTATTTTCAGTTTCTTAGAAGGTGTCAAATAAGAATCATTCTGTAATATATATTTCCTTTGCTTAGCAAAGGTACCTGAAAGATTTGTTAAAAACAGACTTCTTGCTGGGGACGTGGTGGTACAGGCCTTTAATCCCAGCATTTGTGAAGCAGAGTCAGGCAAACTTGTTTCTATGAGTTCAAGGCCAGCCCAGACTACATAGCAAATTCCCAGACCAGCCATGGCTACACATAGTGAAACCCTGTCTCAAAAAAAAAGACTTTTAAACTATATCCTCAGAGCTTTTGATTTGGTAGATCTGAATTGTGAGGCTTAAATTTGTTTTATTTTGTTGGTCTGTATAGGGTATCACTGTGTAGCTCCTTGCCACCTCCTGTGTGGGGTTCCCAAGTGCTGGGATTACAGACATGCAACACTGCACTCAGCTAAAAATATCTAGCAGTTTCTCACAGTGTTTATACCAATAGTCTAGGGGTGACACTTTGGGAACAATTTTTATGGAATATGTTAATCATATTTCCTATGTTAATCATATTTCCGGAATTTAATAGAATTTAGTGCGTATGCATGCGCGTGTGTGTGTGTGTGTGTGTGTGTGTGTGTGTGTGTGTGCACGCACATATTTAAATACAAGCATGTGGAATTCCAGGAACAACCTTGGATGTCATTCCTCAGGTGCCATCCATTTTTTATATAAACTTAGATTTGTATTTATTTTATGCTGAATTTATTCCCAAACCATAAGTGTTTATGTTTCTTCAGGGATATTTTTTTATTCTGTGCAACTTCTTCTGGCTTAAAGAACAATTTGTTCTTAGTGAAGATCATCTCAGTGTGACAGAGGGCATTCATGTATGGGTTAATGAGACCATGAACTCTGTAAGTTCAACAGCCCATCTTATTAGGTACTTTGTTAACCTGTATGTGTTCAATGACTACATATAAACCCTTAAATTCAGCATTACTCTTTCCTTTTTTAAATATATGCAACAAAAACTCAGCATTGTTTTTGAAACACAGACCCTATGTCTAGCCCCACTGTGTGACCTGGACACACCTCATTTCAACATTATACTACCAGAAAGGCACACATTACTTTTTTAAAGTGACATCTTTCAGATACTTAGTGGCTTTTCTCATGTGCATGCCCTTGATGAATTAGACAAGTTTCAAGGGTATTCCTAAAGGGGATACAAAGATTTGAACCTCTTCATTTGTATGATTATATAGAGTTTTCTAGGCCAAGAGAATAGTGAACTATTTTCACAAGTCACCTCAGGCTACTTAGAAGAATCCTTATTTTTTTTTTCTATTTTAGAGGCAGTCTCTCCCTAGTCTGGATTTCTTCAAGTATGATGGCTGGCCAGTAAGCCCCAGGGAATCTGCCTGTCTCCACTTCCCCAGTGCTGGGATTATAAATCACACCACTATGCCAGGCTTCTTTTTTGTTTGTCTGCTTGTTTTTATGAGGGTCCTGTGGATCAAGCACAGGTTCTTGTGTTTGCAAAGCATGCACTTTACCAACTAATTTATCTTCCTAGCCTCTGCAGTTTGTACTTTGTATGATTTTTTGAATATCCCCTTTGGCTTTAAATAGTAATCAACCATATTTGGTGGTTCAATTATAGAATTGAAGCTTTATGCTTGAAATGCCTGATCTCAATTACAACTGCTTATTGCACCTGCTACTTTTAATAACTAGCATTTTTCAGGGGTCAAACTGTTCTATGGTTTTTACTTTTTGGACTTTGTAGACCACCTTTAAAAATTCTTTGTGACATGATATTAGAATATTGAAAAATAATACATTTCTATGCCTTCATCTCTATTTTCAAAGACAAATTTAGCCATACTGGTACATACAATACTTAGGAAGCAAAAGTTCAAAGCCAGGCTGGATATGATGAGACACTGACTCAAAAATAAAATCAAATTAATTCAGTTAATGTTTTGGGTTGTTGTATCAGACTTATTTGACCCCATAACATGAAGTGGCTTCAAGACTGGCTTCTGTATAGGACCTGATTCTCTTCAGTGGAATGTATCTTCATGATGTTTGATCACTTTCTGATTCGTTTTTTTTTTTTTTTCATTTTACTTTTTTTAGATGGGGTAGGCACACACATTTGTATGTAGAGGTGAAAGAATAACTTTCAGAAGTCAGTTCTCTCCATCTAGCATGTGTGTTCCAGGGGTCAAACTCAGGTCATTAGGCTTGGTGGCAAGTGCCCTTAATCACAGAGCCACCTTGACAGCATTATTAATATTGAGTTTATTAATATTGATTTATTAATACTGAGTCTTCAGAACTCAGTATTTTTACATTTACAATATGAGTCTCTTGTCAAATATGTGGTTTGCCTCCAGTGTGGTGGTGCATGTCCTTAATCCTATCACTTGGGAGGCAGGGCATGAAGATCTCTGGAAGTTCAAGGCCAGCCTGGTCTATATATCTAGTTCTAAGACAAACAGAGAGAGCTACATAGCCGCTGCCTCAAAAAATGTGATTTGCATTTACTTTCTCAGAGCTTAATATAGATGTAAATTTTCTTTTCATCCTTTTAACAGTCTTTTAGAAAGTAAAGATGTTTTTACTCTAGGTCATTTTTTTTCTTTTGGGTTGTTTTTTTTAGTGTCAAATCTATGAATTTTTCACCTAACCCTACATACGTTTCAAAGATTTTCTCATGTGTTTCAAGAATTTTATAGTTGTATAGTTTACATTTAAATGTATGATCTATTTTGTGTTAATTTTTTAAAGTTTTACTCTGGCAATTTCATACATATACCTTTTGATCATATACATCTTCCATTACCCTCTCTAATCCCCCTCCTATTCATATTGAAGCACTTTTTCCCAACAAATAACCCTCTTGATTTTGTGTGCGTTTTTTAAGCTTAATTAGGATTGCTTACATGAGCATGAGTAGAAGGTTATTTACGAGAGCATAGGCAACATCTACTGGCTACACCACTGAAGAAAATGGATCTTCTTCCCCAGTTACCATTAATTGCCAATAGTTCATTCCTCAAGGGAAGAGTGGAGCTTCCAAACCTGCTCCCCTGTCCATGATGGAATGTTCAAGAGCCAAATCTTACGTAGGTCTTATGAAGTTAATCATAGCTGCTGTGATTTCACGAATGCAGTAGCCATATCATGTCCAAGAGAGAGTGTTTTACAGCATTTCTCCCTATCCTCCAACCCTTTAGTAGTATGTTTCCATATGGATTTTTCATAGCTCTTAAGTTTTGTTAGCTTTTCCTCCTATTCCTTCATCTCTCTCTCTTCCACCCACCTTATTTCTGTTTTACCCATTCTAAATAACAGTATTCTCCTCACAACTTTTTTATCACTTGTATGCCACTATTTCCTTCTCCTTAAGACA